ATCAGGGCGGGTAATGCTCGACTAAGGGGTGACCGCTATGGAGGGTCGACCATGCAAGGGAACAAGGGAGCCTGGTATACTGGGCGCACCTAGATGAAGCATGCGGGGCTGCCTAACTAGGGCGTGAGGGCCGGCGAAKGGTAGAAAGATGATGGGTAAGGGAAYCATGCAAATGACTCCTAAAGTGAGGGAAGTCGGAGCTAGATCCGTAAGATGGGAAGCCAGGGCACCACTACGGTCCCGATGCCTATGCGTATACCGAGGGAGAGCCCAACTTAGAGGAACCCGGCTAAAGGGAGACCATCATGCGACACAAGCAGGGTACTGTACAGGGTAAAGTGGTAAGAGAGTGGCGACGTCTGAAGTAGGCAGAGCTGATCGTGACGAAGTCCATGAAGTTGCCGATGACGTCCACGATGAGAAGTCCGGAATGCCGTCGAGGAAGAGCCGCAACGTCGACGAGCCGAAGTAGCAAAACTGGAGTGGATGGAGTACTGAGAAGTCAAGGACGTGGGAAGGTAAGTCAGAGTCAATCGTCGTATCAAGCAGGACGACGACGAGTGCGCTGTGGACGCTTAAAAGCATCTGGCTGCTGCTGAAGGTCTACCTCAGATGGAGCAGGCTCGACTTCAGCGGTCTCCTCAGCCGGGGGAGAAGGAGGAGGGTCAGTGGGTTGAGGAGGAGCAGTGAACCCAGCACGACGAGCACGGTCATAAGCACGCACCAACATGCGAGCGTGCTGCAAGTGTTCGAGGGGCTCCCATGTAGCCTCCTCATTAGGGTAACACTTCCAACGTACGAGATACTCGACGTGGGGAGGGTTGTCGTCGGTGACTCGGCGACCAATGATGTCTGAAATGAGGAACTCCTCGCGGCCGTCCACCATGATGGGTGGAGGGCGCTCGTATGGTCGTCCAGCGAAACGCTTAGACGGTCTGCGGTAAGGAGGCAGTAACGAGACGTGGTAGACATCATGCACACGAGCCTGGCGTAGGTAGTCGGGCAGCTTCACACGAAAGCTGACCGGGCTAGATGCCGTATCAGAACCGACGGCCTGGAGGATGCGGCATGGGCCAAAGAAGCGACGCCGAAACTTGCGAAGCGTGTCCGCTTCGAGCTGTAAGTGGCGGGCGTCGATAAGCACATCATCACCGACCTTGAATGGGTGATCCATCCTCGATCGGTTCGCACGTGCTGCCATGCGAGTCTGGGAAGCGGCTATATGCTCATGTGCGGTCTTCATAATCGACGTCATGTGTGCAACCCAGTCATCCAGCGCGGGACAACTCGTGTCGGGGTGCATCTGGGACGGTCGAAGGAAGTCCGCGGAAACACGCGGGTGATAGCCGAGGTCGCAATAGTAAGGCGACATCCCCGTGGGTGGCGAGACGGCGTGGTTGTAGGCTATCTCCGCGTGGGCAAGATGGAGATCCCACTGCTGGTCGTCACGAACAATCTTTCGGAGAATATCTCCGAGAGTCATGTTCGTGATCTCAGTCTGACCATCAGTCTGAGGATGGTAAGACGAGGAGAAGTGGAGCTGAGTGCCGTATACCTCGTGGAGCCGTCGCCAGAATTGGCTGGTAAAGCGCGGGTCACGGTCATATATGATGCTCAGAGGTAAGTCGTGGTCACGCACGACTCGGTCAAACACGATGTCGGCGACCTCACGCGCACTGATGGCATAGCGGCACGGAACAAAGCGTGCACGCTTCGTGAAGCGGTCGACGACGACCAGGATAGCATCATGACTGGGAGGGATAAAGTCCATCGAGATGGACTGCCAATGACCCTCAGGGATAGGAAGAGGCTGGAGCAAACCATAAGGCAAGTGGTTCGCACTGTTCACCTCCTGACAGGTGGGACACTCTGCGATGTAGTCCTTCACAAAGTCCTTGCGCTTCGGCCATACGTACAGGCGGCTTACACGAGCCAACGTCTTGTGGAAGCCCATATGACCGGCGGTTGCCTGGTCATGGAACTCTGCTACTGCTCCGACACGTAGCTGTCCAGTGGAGGGAACGTAAATACGGGCCTCTCTGGTACCCTGTGAACCGTGCCAGTACACAAGACCGTTGTCCCCGAGAGAGGAGTTCGGGACGGTCTTGCCGCTCCGAAGGGTCGTGTGGATATCACAATAGTCGGGGCAGTGGCGATACAAAGTGCGAAACTCATCGATCACCGAGTGGTGGACAGCGGTGACCGAGATGGAAGAGAGATGGATGTGCTCCTGGTCGTGGTCAGGGCGCCGGAATAAGGCATCTGCGACCCGATTAGTCTCACCCTTGATGTGCTCAGTGGTGAAACTAAACTCGGATAGGTCGCGCCACTAGCGAGCCTGTCGAGGANATAAGGCATCTGCGACCCGATTAGTCTCACCCTTGATGTGCTCAGTGGTGAAACTAAACTCGGATAGGTCGCGCCACTAGCGAGCCTGTCGAGGAGTGAGCTTCGGCTTTGTCACCTGAGCGAGACTCGACAGTGCCGTCCTCGGCGATGGTAGGAGAATAGTCAATAGAGGGTTCGTCAGTAGCTGGACGAGTAGGCGTCAGTCGGGAAGCAGTGGTAGGGGTATGTGGTGGGAAGTGAGGGATACAAGGATGAGAGGAATCAGGAGAGGAGGGGAAGACCTGAGAAAGCACTGCTCCTACAGCAAAGTCTGACGCATCGGTGGTAAGGATAAAAGGGCGATCAAAATCGGGTTGGTGAAGAACCGGTGCGCATGTCACCACCTTCTTGAGGGCGCGGAAGGCGTCCTCGTGGAGGGGTGTCCAAGCCCAGAGTGGGTTCTTCCGGAGGAGGGTGGAGGTAAGGACGTAGCAATACCTAGCATATCCCCGGATGAAGTTACTATAGTAGCTGGTCAGACCTAGGAAGCTGCGAAGCGGGCCACTCCACAATAGCAGTGATCTTCGCGTCGTCCATGTGGAGACCCTGGTCAGACACGTAGTGTCCTAAGAAATCCACTTTGTGTTGGGCAAAGCGGCACTTGCTCAGCTTGGCGTAGAAGCCATATCTGCGCAAGCGGTCAAGGACGTCACAGAGGTGTCTGAGGTGCTCCTCAAGGGTACGAATGTAGACCAGGATATCGTCAAGGTAGACGAGAACGTACTGCTCCAGGATGTCCCTGAAGATGTCGTTCCTCGCCCTCTGAAAGGTAGCGGGAGCGTTAGTGAGGCCGAATGGCATCACCGTGAACTCGTAGTGGCCGAATCGCGATCGAAACGCGGTCTTCGGCTGGTCGGCTGCAGCGACGCGGATCTGATGGTAACCGCTACGAAGATCAATCTTCGTAAAGAAGCGGTTGCCTGCTAGGCGTTCGAACAGCTCATCGGAACGAGGCATGGGGTAGTTGTTCTTAACCGTGTAGCGGTTGAGACCGCGATAGTCGATGCAAAGATGGAGAGTTTTGTCCGCTTTGCGAGCAAAGAGGACGGGTGCACCCCACGGGGAGTTGCTGAGTTTAATGAAACCCAGTCTCAGGAGCTCCTCAAGCTGATGCTTGAGTTCGGTGGCCTCGGGGATCGAGAGTCTGTAGGGTGTCTGGTGGTGAACACGATAGTCAGGCACAAGCTGAATGGAGTGCTCGACGTCACGCATCGGTGGGATGCCGGAGTACGAGAACGACGATGGAAAAACGTCGTGGTACTCTCGTGTGAGGTCACGAAATGCGAGTTCCAAGTCAGTCGTATATCGTGCGAGTTTCTCAGCGTCAGTGTCAGTGCGCGACGGCGGGGTGGACTCGACGGACGGCGGAGGGACGGAAGTAGAGATGCGAGCCATGGAGACGGAGGGAGGATCTGGCTCCAAAGGGATGAGCTCGGCGTCGAGACAGGGTGGATCATAGTGTAAGAGATCCGTCACGTCCACGATAAAGAAGATGACGCCATCCTGTCGAATGAAGTGACCGAACTGCCGAGGCGAGGTGACAGTGATAGAGGGAGATGGTGTGGGCGTTGAAGGCTCCGGGGGAGGAGGATCGGGGCGTGGTGTCGCCGTGGTACCTATGAAAGGTACGCGATACATCTGTCCACACTTCGTTTTGAGAACGAGAGTGTTGGTCGCCCAATCGGCCTCGGTGCTGCGGAACCGACAAGACCACGGAGTGCCGAGAATGAAGTCGTACCCCGTCTCCATCACATCGAAATGTGCAGAGGAGCGGTGGCGACAAGACGCCGGGGAACGATCAGTCGACTCGAGAGTGAGGAAGAAGGGGAGGTCGGTGAGCGTCTGATCGAAGAAGCGCTGGGTCCTGCCATCCCCTAGGGTAACGGAGATGGGAGTTTGAGACCCTGTCGTGGATAAGCGGGCTTCCTTCACCACGCGTGGGTGAATGAAGTCGCCCTGAGAACCGGAATCCCACAGCGCTGAGTACACCCTCGTGGAGGTCCCGAGTCGTACTGGGATGATCAGGAGGTTGCGATCAGGGTGAAAGAGGATGGCGAGAGGGCGACGCAGTGCAGCGACATGGAGGGTGAGTCGCTCCTAACGAGCCTGGAGCATGCTCAAGTCCAGAAGAGAGGACACAACGTCCTCGCGAGTAGCAAGCTGCTCGCTGCAACGGGCTGAGCGAATGGCTCGACGCGTCGGTAGTCGCGGCGGGGAAGGAGGGGAGACGGTGGTCTGCGGAGGCGCAGACGGTACTGCGACAAAGGGCTAAGTACACTCTGTCGAGTCCTGCGATACCTCAACTCCAGTAGCGAGAGGGGCGAACCGCGACGGAGATGTCGGGAAGCCCAGTACTGAGGAGGGCGCAGGTGTACCCTGCACCGTGGCTAGGAGGCGCCGCGAGGACGTGAGGCGCCGGGGGGGGACTGAGCACGATGCTGACGATAAAGGTCAGCGTAGTGGCGGTCGAGGGCGGTAGTGTAAGGACACCGCGAGGAGGTATGACCGTCCAAGCGGCAGCGCAAACACCCACGTCGGCCTAGAATAGCCGCGCACTCCTAAGCGGAAAGGACACCACGAGGAGGGACGAAGCCCTGAGGGAGGTCCTCCTGAGGGACCTCGGGGGGCGACGCGCCAGCGTGACCGGGGCGGCTGCGTGCCCGAGAGAGGGCGGAGAGCGCGAGCTGAAGGCGCTCAGCTGCAGGTAGGGAAGAGTCCTCCAAGTGATAGTGGACGGCCTCGCAGAGATCGAGGTCGTCGTTGTGGTCGCCCTCAGGTGACAGTGGGGCAACAGCGTCCTGCTCACCATACTCCAGCGCGCTGAAGCGGCGCGAGAAGTGGCGGCCTTACTGCGTGGAACGGCGGGGGCGACCGCGGAAAGGGGAATGGCGCTGGGAAGTGTCGTGAGAGGAGGAGGAGGCATAGCCCGTGCGCTGGGGCTGGGAGGAGGAGGCGGGGTGAAGACGGGCTCGCATCCGCTGGTGGTCCCTGGCGGCCTCGTAAGCCTGTGGGGCCGATGTGAACTCGTACCGCCATAGCTCGGAGCGGTACTCGAGCGGAAGGCTGGCCAAGAAACGATCGATAAGGGCAGCCTTGGGGAGGAACGCCACGTCGCAAACGAGGCGGGCGTCCTGAAAGACCTGGATGTGGCGATCCAGGCCGGCAGCGCCACCAGAGCCGGACCAGCGTGTAGTGACGACACGCTCGAAGGCGTCAGTCACGTCGTATCGGGCTCCGAAGCGATTATCGAGGAACGCCTGGAAATCCACGAAGGTTGGAGTCCGACCCTCACGAAGGGAGTAGGCATAGAAATCCTCCCAGGCCTCGAAAGGATCGCCACACAGGCGCGTGGAGAGGTGACCCACCCACGTCTCGGGTGTGGCGCCCATGAGCTGGAGTGTGCGGGTGGCAGACTGCAGCCACCGAGACACGCGTATGCCTGTACCGTCATACAAGGCAATGTCCGACAAGCGGATGAGTGGTGCGCCAYCGTTTTGGCGGYGAGGGGATCGAGGAGCGGAGGCCTGTGCCACGGCTGAGTAAGTCGGCGCAGGTCCTGGAGAAAGGGGCGCAGCTGACTGTGCGTCCGGGCCGCATGGGGGAGCGGCGGTGGCTACAGTGGCAGGCTACGAGGGTGCTGCGGTAGAAGAGGTCGCAGCAACCGCGGGAGTAGGAAGAAGGTAGGAAGGAGTTGTATAGGGCGCAGGGAGCGGAAAGCGAGCCTGCATGGGAGGAAGGGTAGAGGAGGTAGGGGGTGCGCCCGAAGGCGCGGCCACCTGTGAGGGTGGAGGTGGCTGAAGGCGTAAGAGGGCGAGGTCGGCCCGGAGCTGGGCAATCTCGTCCGCGAGACCTCGAACATAGGTCGATCGAGGGGTGGCAGGAGGAAGAGTGGAGCGGGTGGACGCACAAGCGGCGCGGGGCATCCCAGAGGGGGGAGAGCCAGGTGGCGCTGCGGTCGTGCGAAGGGGAGGGAGAAGTGGGGCACCCGGAAAAGCTGAGACCGTGGCCGTAGTGACCGGGATCTGGGCGGGTGCCCCCGTAGACTGAGGGGGGGCCTGGCTCGTGACGGCCGTCGTGCTAGGGGCAGGGACAGTCACCAAGATGGCCGGGTCAGGGGCAACGGAGGAGGAAGCTCCGTCGTGGCCACCCTGTCGGAGGACGGGGGACCCGGACTGGGAGCCAGGAGATGACGGACACGCAGCGTCCTGGAGTTGCTGCATGCCGGCGGCAAGGGTCGCCACCTGCGCCTGTAAGGGCGCAAGGGTCGCGAGTTGCGCCTGGATGGGCGCAAGGAGGGAGGTGAGGAGGATGTGTAGATCCCCCTGGGGCTGATGGCCCTGGTCCGCCGGCACGGGTGTAGAGCCCGATGTCATGGTCATCGCCGTGTCGGCGGCGTGTGATGCACCGTCGCCCATGGGGAGATGACGGACCGGACTGGAGGGGCCAGAAGAGGTCCGCGTGAGCGGAGGGCGTAGGGGGAAGTCCGCGGTAGAAAGCGGCAAACGACGCTAGCAAGGCTAGCACGGGCGCCGTCAAAGGGGGAGGGGTGGTTCGGGTCCAGGGTGCCCGAAGAGGACGGGGAAGTAGGGGGGGTTTGAGGAACCCTAAACCCTGCAAAAACCCTAAGAAAACCCTAACCGAGGTTTAAGTGGCTAGGGTAGGGTACTGGTGACCTAATCAAGAAAGTAAAATAGCAAGCATAGGGGGGGGGAGACGGGAGAAAAATAAATAAACAGCGAGATTTCGAGAGAAAATAAAAATAAATAAGAAAATAAATAAATAATAAAAATAATTAAAGAAATAAGTAAAGAGATGTGAAGGGAAACAGTATTTATTTTGAAAAGGAGAGACCAAGGTGAGCACACTAGAGATGCCGCAAATAAATAAAAAAAGAAATTTCAAAAAAAAATAATAATAATAATAAACAAATAAATAAGTAAATAAGTGCGTGAGGAGGTGGGGAGAAATGGGTTATCTGATTTTTCAAAAATTTTGGCAGCGTTTCGTTACCCCCGTGGGGTCGAAGTGTGCCGAAAAGACTAAGTAAGAGAAAATCAGAAAATTTCGGCACCACTTCGTTACCCCCACGGGGTCAAAACGTGTGCCGAAAGAAAGAAAGGCTAATACCTATTCAGATTTAGGGTTGCCGCCAAGAATTTTCAGAATAAATAAAAATAAATAAAATAAATTTGAAAATAAGAAAAGAGGGTGGGGAAGAAGATGAGAAAACTAACAACTAATCAGATTTAGGGTTGCCGTAGAGAAAATCGAATTTTCAGAATAAATAGAAAAATAAATGAAATGAATCAGAAAATGAGAAAGAAGGTGGGAGAGAAGATAATTCGGAATTTTTGGAAAAGAAAAGACAAATCAAAAGGAGGATAGGAAAAAAAAAGAAAAACAGAAAAAATTCGAAGTGGGGGGAATGGGAATGAAAAACTGAAGGGGAAGAGAAGGAAATAGGTGAGGGAGGGAAAAAGATGAAGTGGGAGGTGGGGGGATGAGGTGGTGGTAGTTGGGGGAGAGGAGGGTTGGGGAAAGGTAGAGAGAGATCAAGAAGGAAGGAGAAAAGAAGGGAAGAAAAGGAGAGATGAAGAAAATAGAGTAAAAGGATGGGTGGTGGGACAAAGGTGGGGTAGGGAAGATAAAAGGAGGAGAGAAAAGATGCAGCAGAAGGTGGGGGAAAGAGAAGGGGTGAATCAGAGGAGAGAGGAGAGGTAGGGAGAGTGGGTTAGTAGAGGGAGAGGGGAGAAGGGAGTGGTACTTGGCCCTTGGTGTCTCCAAGGGCACAAGGTACACCAAGACCAGGAGGGTCTTGGTCTTCGCTGCAACAGCCAGTTGGAGGAGAGAGGGGGCTGAGATCTTGATCAGCCCCCAACAGCACTTCTGCAGATGTGCAGATCTAGGGTCTGTTGTGTGAGCAGGCCCTCACCACTGTAGAGCAGCCCCCTTGAGCAGGGGGGTCTTCAGTTCACAGTAGCTGCCATGTAGCACGGCAGCAGCATCCACTGCGGGGGGGGGGGG